ACCGGAGTACTTTCCCCCGTCATTCTTAAAGTACCGATACTAATGAAACGGAGGAATCGTAACGTTTTTAACGGCAGGGTATCGCGGTACCTTTCAAGTATCGGTACACCGTGCAACACTTGTCAGGAGTCAGTGTCTCTCCCCCAAACTCACACATATAAAATCCGATATGAACTGAAGAGCCGCATGAAACTAGGCAAAGAGCCGCATGCGGCTCGAGAGCCGCGGGTTGGCCACCCCTGAGCTAGAGGTAGTCCCTGAGGTAATATGTGTGCAAGAAACCTGGTTACGACCTCAATTAGACTTTGTCATTCCAGGATTTAGCTGTATAAGGCATGATAGAGATAATAATCAAAATGGTGGAGGGTGTGCCACGTTTCTCAAAGATGGTGTGGCATACAGGGAGGTGCAATCTCCTGATGATATAGAGTGTATTATAGTGGACATTTGCAACCCTAGGAAACAAGATAACATTAGGATAATCAATTTATACAACCCATGTAAAAATCTAACCACTGATATATTTAAAGAAATAGCAGGCAATAAACATAGGCAGGAAGTTTGGTGTGGTGATTTCAATGCACACAACAGTCTATGGGGGCAGCAACCATACTGTACAGACAGTAACGGAAATATAGTGGAAGAAATGCTGGAGGAAAGAACACTAGTATGCCTTAATGATGGACATGGCACAAGAGTAGATGTCCACAGGGGGAAAGTCTCATGCCTGGATCTGACATTAGTATCAAACGGTTTGGTTCATACATGCGAATGGTTTGTTTTGAATAACTCCACTGTAGGAAGTGACCATTATCCAGTGCTTACTAAAATGAATACTAATGTATATACAGTTGCAAGAAAAAGTATGTGAACCCTTTGGATTCTCCACACATAGCGTTGTGTGTTTTCTTCCAAACACTCAACTTTGGTTTCATCTGTCCACAGAATATTTTGCCAGTAGTGCTGTGGAACATCCAGGTGCTCTTTTGCAAACTTCAAACGTGCAGCAATGTTTTTTCTGGACAGCAGTGGCTTCCTCCGTGGTGTCCTCCCATGAACTCCATTCTTGTTCAGTGTTTTACGTATCGTAGATTCGTCAACAGAGATGTTAGCATGTGCCAGAGATTTCTTTAAGTCTCTAGCTGACACTCTAGGATTCTTCTTCACCTCATTGAGCATTCTGCGCTGTGCTCTTGCAGTCATCTTTACAGGACGGCCACTCCTAGGGAGAGTAGCAACAGTGCTGAACTTTCTCCATTCATAGACACTTTGTCTTACCGTGGACTGATGAACATCAAGGCTTTCAGAGATACTTTTGTAACCCTTTCCAGCTTTATGCAAGTCAACAATTCTTAATCGTAGGTCTTCTGAGAGCTCTTTTGTGCGAGGCATGGTTCACATCTGGCAATGCTTCTTAAGAATAGCACATTCAAAACTGGTGTGTATTTTTTATAGGGCAGGGCAGCTTTAACCAACACCTCCAATCTCGTCTCATTGATTGGACTCCAGGTTGGCTGACTCCTGACTCCAATTAGCTCTTGAACAAGTCTTTAGCCTAGGGGTTCACATGTTTTCCACCCTGCACTGTGAATGTTTACATGGTGTGTTCAATAAAAACATGAAAACATATAATTGTTTGTGTGGTATTAGTTTAAGCAGACTGTGTTTGTCTATTGTTGTGACTTAGATGAAGACCAGAACACATTTTATGACCAACTTATGCAGAAATCCAGGTCATTCCAAAGGGTTCACATACTTTTTCTTGCAACTGTATGCAGGAAGGAGGTGTAATAACCAGGTGGTGCTTTGCTAAAGCTGATTGGGGGAAAGTGTAGGATATGGTGTGAGGAGTCCGGTACACCTGCTAACATCAGAGGGAAGCATAGAGGTCATTACAAGCCACATAACGCAACATATACTAAATGCAGCAGAGAACAGTATACCCAAAGCAACAACCAGGGTAGGAAGAAAGTGGTCCATGGTGGAATGAGGAATGCAGCAGGGCTACTAAAGAGCGAAACGATGCACTTAGAGAATTAAAGAAAAACATGACACAAAATAATGTTATAGAGTTTCAAAGGAAAGGGACAGCTGCTCGAAGGACAATAAAATATACAAAAAAGAGAACATGGAGAGAATTGTGTTCTACCATTGGCAGAGGAGTAACATTAGGTGATGTCTGGTCCATGTTGAAGCGGATGAGTGGGAAAAGGAAATCCATTAAAATGCCAGCTTTGGTTGATGGGGAGAGGCTGGCAGTGACAGATAAAGAGAAGGCAGATATGTTAGGAAGGACACTTGCAGCAGTACATAGTGGGGGAGCATCTCAGTGATATCCATAGGCAGCAAAACAGCAGTTACTAGCAGAGAATGAAAACGTGAAGGAGAAGAGACAGGGATAATAGGTCAGCTATGGATGTGGAGTTTAACCATGTCAGAACTCAAAATAGCCTTACAAGGTACAGGATATACAGCCCCAGGACAAGACCAGCTATGTTATGCTATGTTTAGACAGTTACCTATGGAAACTATGGAAATGGTGCTGAGTCTTTTCAATACAATCTGGAGAGAAGGAGATATGCCAAGTGTGTGGAAAAACAGCAATCGTGCTACCATTCAATAAGCCAGGGAAAGATACAGCTAACCCTAGTAACTACAGACCAATAGCTCTTACATCACACCTATGTAAATGGTTGGGAAAGATCATTGTCTGTAGGCTCTCACATGTACTGGAACAGAAAGGGCTGCTGAGTAGTTTTCAGAGCGGATTTCGTAAAGGGCGGTCCACAATAGATGCGTTAGTAAGAGTGAGTAACGATGTGGAAAAAACATTGAAAATGAAAGAGATAATGGCAATAGTGTACTTTGACATTGAAAAGGCGTATGACTCTGTGTGGAGGGATGGATTACTGATCAAATTGAGTAGAATGGGTATTGGAGGGAGAATGTACAATTGGGTAAGGGCCTTTTTAACAGACAGGACATTTAGAGTAAAGGTTGGAGCAGATATTTCCAATTATTTTGAAATAGAAAATGGTATCCCCCAAGGGAGTGCAGTCAGTCCAATATTATTTAACATGATTAATGACATATTGACATGGGCTCTATGCGTAGATGATGGGGCTATTTGGATGAGAGGAAGACATGCCCATACGTAATGGAGAATATTGCTAGAGCGATTAAAAAAGTGGAGAGGTGGTCATATAACTGGGGATTCAAAATGTCAGAAAGTAAGTCATGCTACATGGTATTTACAAACGCAAGATTGATGGCCAACAGCTAACACTATATGATCGTCCAATGACAAAGATGAACAAGTTCAAATACCTCGGACTGTGGTTTGATAGAAAATACACATTGAAAATGCATATTAATCAAGTGGAAAAACAAAATGCAAAAAAGTATTAAATGTATTGCGAGCTGTAGCTGGATGCAACTGGGGCGCAGACAAACAAGCATTAATAGACATTTACAGATCAATTATGAGGTCCACAATAGACTATGGTTGTATAGTGTATGGAGCAGTAGCAAAAACATCACTTTTAAATTGATAGAATACAATATAAAGCATTGCGGCTGTGTATTGAGCGATAAAGTCATCCCCTATCAATGCAGTTCTGATAGAAGCAGGAGAGACACCGCTGGAGATCAGAAGAGAGAAACTTGCTCTGTCATACTGGGTCAGGCTACAAGGAAGTAGAGAGGAACATATCACAAACAGAATATTACAGGATTGCTGGGAATATGCAAAATTCCAGGGGCGTGGGTTTGGCTGGACGAGTAAGGAGAGAACGAGGGCATGTGGAGTGGAGACCATCACGTGTGCCAAAGCAAGCCCATTTAGCAGTGTTCCCCCATGGCTGTTCCCAGAAGCTAAAATGGATATGAGTATTGTAGAAAGGAAAAAAGAGTGGCAAATAAATGAAGTGGGAATTAAAACAAGTATATATCTGAACGAAAAGTACTACAATTTTCCTATACAAATGTACACAGATGGTTCTAAAGAACAAGGAAGAGTGTGTTTGGAGTTGGCGTATACATCCCAGACTTAAAATATCTATTTTAAAAAGAGCATCTGATCAATTATCAGTGTATACAGCAGAAATGCTTGCTGTAATAATAGGATTGCAGTGGGTTGAAGAGGTCAGACCAGATAGGGGTGATTATATGTACAGATTCATTGTCCATATTACAAAGCATACAATCAACAACAACTACTAGAGAAGACATTCTCATAAGACTTCACAGAGGCGGTATATCTGCAGTTCTGCTGGGTGCCTGCTCATGAGGGGGTGAAAGGGAACGAGTGTGCTGATAAATGAGCAAAAGGTGCACTGCAAAAGTAAATACATTACCAGTTCAACTTTGGTAAAGGAGAAGGAAAAGCAGTCATTAAGAAGAGAAGGGATGGAGATCTGGCAGAAGAGGTGGGAGGAAGACCAGAAAGGCAAAGAGTATCACAAAGTACAAAAGACAATTACAATTAATATTCAGAAAGAAACAGAAAGGAGGAAACCATGATAGCTAGACTCAGACTGGATCACACAGCTTTGAATGACTCTGTATGTCATGGGGAAAGTGACAGTAACAAGTGTGCGAACTGTGCAGTAAAAGAAGATGTAGAACATATCTTATTACATTGTGACATCTATAAAGCGGAAAGAGAACAATTAAAGGCTAAAGTCTTAGAGGCAGAGAGGGAGTGGAGTGTGGTTGGGTGTTTTGGGAACAAAAGGAGAGGGAGTAAGAGCTACCAGAAAGGCACTGTTTAAATTCTTGAGTGAAACTGGGGTAGGATTTTTTTTTAACATTAGGTCAGGAAAGAACATAGATTTGGTTTTTGTTTTATTTATTTCATGGTTTTATTGATTTTGATTAGAGCATAAGTTAAAGAGTTGGAATGATGTGATGATTCATACTCATGTACAGTAGGTGGCGGTATGCACCTTTTTAAGTTGTTTGCAATCCGCCAAAAGCAAGAGAAGAAGAAGAAGGTCTGCCCAGTAGGACACAGAATAACTACAGAGAGCAGGGGTTATTAATGTATGGTGTGTGTGGAACAGTAACACACTGCTGCTGCTCTGGCAGAGATCACTGTGTGCCTTTTATTAGTAATTGCGCATTAAAGCAGATTCTGATTAGGTGGAACGGAAGTCTGGCGAAGCGGAACACATCTTTTTGCAGCCCGGACAAGTTACTAGGGTGGACTATTCAGACAGCTTAAGCCATGCTTCAGACCAATGACAGAGGGGGTGTGTGCTTAGATCTGTAAAGAGAACGGGGTGTGTGTTCTGCACAGACTGCACTTGCTATCGGAAAGGTAAGCTTTGTTGTGTGTTTGCTATCAGCTGTGTTAGCTGCAGCTGTTTTAGCTAGTGATGGCGAGATGAAGCCTTATGAAGCTTTGAAGCTTTCCAGCCAATTGGTTCGCAAAAGGGTTCATCTCATGAGGCTTCATCATGGGCTTCATTTGAACCATACAGTCTATGATTTGAACACAAACCCCCTGTTGGTCAAAGTGTGTAAAACAGGCAGATTGGACATCTCAACAGTGTGCTCCATCATCTCATACCGAGTTCCCAATGAGTAAAGCCTTAGAATAACTCTAAACAACGAACATTCAATCATATTTTCATGTTAACAATATTGTATTTATTCCAGTTGAATGATTGTGATTGAAAAGCCTAAGGAGGCTGGTAAACATTGCAAAGAGGGATTTGTATTCCTTAATAATATTCATAAACTTAACCATGTTGTAGCCTGAGAAAGGCTAAACCATATCAAAGAATACATTTATTAACTACATTATCTCATTTAGCTGTAGCTTTTATAAACAACAAAAAATACATATTGTTCAGTCGTCGAACCAGAGACCCTGTGGTCATGAGTCAACTGCTTTCCAGCTGAGCCACAGCACACACACTACAGCTCCCTGAAAACACTGCAAGATATGTATTCCTGTATTTATTGATGTTTTTATTCCTACATTTATTTATGCTTGTATCTATTGATACTTATGACATGTTCCGACCTCTATAAGTGAGGGTCTGAGCTCTCTTGATTCCATCGTGTCACCGGGCCCGGGTACAGGAGGGGTAATATGTAGAGATGCACGATAATTATCGGCCCGATAATTATCGGTCCGATATTAGGAATTATGACGTCATCCCGATAAACCCGATACCAGTATTAATAGCCCCGATAATATACAATATATTTTTTGGGGGAAAAAAAAAGAAAAAAATACTGCGGTGTGGGTGGATTGGGATGAGGGGGCGCTTGTTTTTTCACTCGGCTCCTCCCGTTTTGCCAGTACTGTGGTATTAGTGGTTTAGGAAGAGGGGAGTTTTCTCACAAATCCAGCGCTCCCCAACTCGTGAAGCCAGGACAGTAAACAAACATGTCATCGGTGGTATGGGCGTTGGAGCTATGTGCAACTCAAGGCATATGCTCGAACCGGAGCAGCCTGGACGCTGCAATCATGTTGCGCACTATCCGTGCTGAGTGTGCTGACTTTTCGTACAATGGCCCACTGTCTGGCTTCCTGCATAAAGTCAAGTGCTCGGCGCAGTTGTGGCGAAATGTCGCTCCTCTGTTTTCATTTAAACAGCTCCGTATATCCGTTAGCGCAGCTAGCTAGCACCAGATGCTAACAACAACAATGCACGTAAGGTCTCTCACTCGCTCGCTCGGGCCACACATACACACACCCTCCCGGTCCTCCAGATGGCCAGTCGGTGCCTGCCGGTGAGCGTGGAAGTGTGGTCTGCCACAAGCGGGCGGCAGGAGCGGGGCTGTCAGCATCAGCTTGTAGATGGTATTTTAAACTTGATGCGCTCTGAAACTACGGGGCGGCCGAGGAAAAAAAAATACACATGCGTTAATCGCGTTAAAATAATTAGTGGCGTACATTTTTTTTTATTATCAGTTATCGGTATCGGTCTTGAGAAGCAGGAAGTTATCGGTTTCAAAAAAACAATATCGTGCATCCCTAGTAATATGGTTCTTATTATACATCCATGGGTATTATGAGCGTTGTGGTTTAACTGTTCAACCGATCTGAATCGCTTCCTGAAGCAGTCACGTGGTATCGACAGGCAGTGAGGCTTCGTTTGTCATCGATGACGTCACTGGCCCAAAACGATACAAGCCTCGATACATGCTTCACAAAAAGCTTCGGGGATTACGGCCCGTCTACACTACAGGCATCGAAAAATGCTTTCAACGCTTCACCCATTCATTTGAATGGGGTGACGTTAGGGCTGTGCGATTATGGCAAAAATCATAATCACGATTATTTGGGTCAATAATTGATATCACGATTATTTTGACGATTATTCATTGACCATTTATTGAACTTTAAAACAAATAATATTTTACCAATAACCAAGATCAACAAATATGTTGGAGCACACTTCCAAAACCATACATTACATTACATTACATTGCATTTAGCTGACGCTTTTGTCCAAAGCGACTTACAATAAGTACATTCGACCAGGAAGACACAACCTTGAAGAAAACAGAATCATATAAGTATATCAGGTTTCATAGAGCCAAACATTTCAAGTGCTACTCAACTGGCTTTAGGTAATCCAGTCCTTTATTAGTATAAAAGTGCTTCGTTAATCGTTCTAACGCTCGAAGTGGAGTCGAAAGAGATGAGTTTTCAGTTTGCGCCGGAAGATGTGCAAGCTATCTGCCGTCCTGATGTCAATGGGGAGCTCATTCCACCATCTTGGAGCCAGGATAGCAAACCCACGTGTTTTCGCCGATGGGAACTTGGGTCCCCCCTCGCAGCGAGGGCGCAACGAGTCGTTTGGCATACTAAACATATATTATTAATATGATAAATAAAAATAAATTAGACCAAAATAAATGAAATCAAACATGTTGCAGTGCACTGTCACAACCTACTGAAAACTCCTTAACATATAGCCAACATTTTGGTTCAACATATTCCACTCGGTCCAGAAGTAACAGGAAATAAATGTTGAACTACAATTTAAGACCAAATAGAAATGTTTAGGCCACCATGGCAAATGCTGGTAGGGCTGCTCATGTCATCTCTTAAACACCAGGCTGTTTACATGGTCTGGTTTCAGAGATGAGCGCAGGCAGGTGACAATATTGCCACCTCTACTGAAGACCCTCAGCCACGCCCCGACACAGGGGTGACGCCGGCCAATCACAAAGCTTTGATGCGTTCAAGTGCATTATTCTGGCACAGGAAGATTATGTTACAGGACATTAACGATAAAACAGAATATTGTTGTTCTATTTTTAGATACATCTCGCGATCGACTGGTTGGGCACCCCTGGGCTAGACCATAGGTCCGTTGTGGTGGCAAAGTAGTCAGCTGAAGCCACATCTCTCTCAACTTCCCCACGGCATTTGTCACATAATACCTGCTGAAATAATACCGAGACGGCATCGCGTAACGCTTGTCCAACGTGTTGACAAGTTGCTTAAAGCCCTGGTTGCTAACAGTGCTAACTGAGTGGGCACATATCTTTAGCGATGTGAAATGTAATGGCACCTGTAATATCTCTGTCTCTGCGAGCTCGTCGCGTAGGCCGTCGCTCTGTACAATGCGTCCTGAATCGATGACTATGATGATGTGGTGGATGAAGTCGAGCGGCATCTGCTTTTTGTTGTATTATTGCCCGGTCGTATTGCACTTTGTGGTTGTATTTCAGATGATTAAAGAGATTGGTTGTGTTAGCGTGTGGTGCCAACACAACCTGGTAACAAATCCTGCACTGTACTTTGTTTTGCTCCACGTCGGACTCCTGAAAGCCAAAGTACTTCCAAATAGTGGAAATAGTTGTACCCTTCTTTTTAACGAGTTGCTGCTCTTGTTCTGACATCTTCGCTCGCGCTGAACACTCATAACACATGTCACTCCCACGTGGCCGAGTGGGCTTTTAGGGAGGGGCGAAGCGCACCCAGCTAAATAATCGTATTTTGTCAATTATGCTGTTTTCATAATCGTCGCAAGCCATAATGGTAATCGCGATTAAAATACGATTAATTGCACAGCCCTAGGTGACGTAGAAGATTTTTAAACTTGGACGAACTGCATTGTGGGGAGCATGGTTTTGCAAGCATCACGAGCATCTATCGGCATCAAAAGTTGAACAATGTTCAACTTTTGAGGCTCGATGCTTGGCATCAGCCAATCAAATCCCACGTATGCAAATCTGACAGTACAAGCGCTAGCCAATCAAACCGCGTGTATGCTGGGAGAGACTACGCAGGTAATTAACTCATATTCAAAAAAATGGAGGGAAAATTCATTATAGCGGTAGTGAGTCACCCGGTGCTGTATGATCAGTCTCTGTTCATCTACCGGGATACAAACCGGAGGAGCGAGGCATGGAGGGAGGTGGCAGAGACAGTGGATGAAACTGGTAGGTTTTCGCCTGTTTGGGGATTTTATATCCAGTTTACTTCGTTTTAACATTGCTATTGCTTTGTATGCCGGGGGCGTGCGGGAGATTCCTGATTGGTTGTTGGTCGCCTTGGGTGAGAAATCGCCAAGCCTCAGACACGCCCAGCTTCAAGATTTTTTTATGCCTGATTGATAGGTAATAGATTAAGAGCGGTGAATCATAGAAACAGGTGCTCAAACGTTTGTGTGAGTTTATCTAATTTAGCAGTGATTCCATGTCAGCCACAGCTTGTTACAAAAAACATGACTGATAGTGTGTTTAACGAACTTAAACTAGCTTTATTAAATGTCAGGTCATTGGCAGGAAAAACATTTTTAATCAATGATTTTATCACTGAGCACAATCTCGATTTTATGTTTTTAACAGAAACTTGGATTGAACAAAATAACAGTGTAGCTGTTCTTATCGAATCAACCCCTCCCAACTTTAGTTTTATGAGTCAGGAAAGAATGCATAAGAAAGGGGGTGGAGTTGCTATTCTGTTCAATGATTCCCTTCAATGCAGGAAGACATCTTATGGGAACTTTGATTCTTTTGAATATGTGGCCCTTCAGCTGAAATGCTCCTCTCGAGCTCTGTTCCTAAATATCTATAGACCACCCAAATACTGTGCAAGCTTTTTTGATGACGTTACTGAACTGCTGTCTATAGTGTGTATTGACTTTGACCGTCTAGTCATTGTTGGTGATTTTAACATCCATGTTGACAACCCCCAGGACAGAGGGGCAAAAGAACTATTTTGTGTTCTTGATAGCTATGGACTGACTCAGCATGTGACGGAGCCCACGCACAATAAGGGGCACACTCTGGACTTAATTATCTCAAAGGGTCTGAATATCTCTAAGGTTGTGGTGACTGATGTTG